GTATATCAATCAAATATGCTTCACTTTTACTGAAACTTCGTCCGAGATTGAGCTCAGTCTCTGACGGAGCTTTTAGAAAAGTGAAATATGTTAGACGTTCCCTATTTATTCTTTATTTTATATATATATATATATATATATATATATATATATATCGTTATGAAAAGTAATAATGATTGACAAAGTACTGCGATTAAGCATTTGATTTGATTTTCTTGTGTTCGTACGTGTTTTTTCTGGACACAAATCTGTCCAAAAATAATCAAATAGGAAGAGCCAACACTCAATAGCATTAACTATGAACACGGTCACAATGTGCTGACCGTGTTTGGGAAATAAAACATTCCTTTAATTTCAGATACATACATAAGAAAACCACACATTCAGTTAAAAAAAAATAAAAATAAAAATCGTCCTTGCGCTCGGATATGCATAACTTGTAGACAATTTTTACACAGTTTGAGTCTAAAAAAGAAAAATTAAATAAAAAGCTTTAATCTAATCGATCCTGACATGGCATCTCGACTTCAATCACCTTCTCACCCGACGTCGTGTCGTCTTTTTTACAAATATTTTAATCGCAACTGTTCTAAGGAGCTTCTTTCTCTGGTGCCCCGACTACAAGATTTTAAGAGTACTAATAGATTGGTAACTAAGTCTGACTGTTTTAATCTGAACTAGCTAGATGTAACCGGCACTATTCTAAAAGTTCCTTTTCTCGCACTTCTTTCAAGTGTAACGCCCCTCCGATTTATTGGAGAGGCGTTATCTACCATCTTCAAAAATTTAAATGCAACAGGAATCGCCATCTTCGATCTTCCTGAACCCTGTTCCTTTCCTCACTCCTTCACATTCTCCTTTACTCTCTGAAACTCTTTGCATCCTCGTGGCATTATCGCTTTGCTTGGTGTGAAGTTATTAAAAAAATATATGTTTCATGTTTTTAGCCGTGAATCATTATGGGTTTCGGGTCTTTCAACATCAAATTCCCTCTCTAAGTTTACCCAGTCGATACTTATTTGATATTGACTTGTGGGCCATCTGTCATAGTCAGTTTCTTTATTGTTTTTTCTTCACTTCTACGCACTAATGTCTTCATCTTTTTTCAGTCCCTGTAACCACCTGCATCTTGGTGACATTAATGCCTTTGCTCGAGGTAAAAGTATCATATATATATATATATATATATATATATATATATATATATATATATAGGTTGATTGCAAAAATAATGACGTAAAATGTCGTTTTTGACGTTAAAAATACGTCAAAAAACGACATGATTACGTCATTATTTTTTGCACTAACTTAATATATATATATATATATATATATATATATAAATGAGAAAAATTAATTATTTATTCAGTTATTTGTTTTTTTCAATTTCTTTATATATTTTCGTTTGGAAGCAAGTATTTAACGAAAGATGTTTAAAAGAAAGACTGTTGCCCATATATATATATATATATATATATATATATATCCCATCATTTCCCTCGAACACATACAAATGACGTCATATATTATGAAATGGTGTAAATCCGACAATTATTTTAATAATTTTCCTATGAAATTTCTCGGACATTTTTTATCTATATAAATAGCGTATGACAATAAAATATATTAAAGTCATTGCCGGACTTAGTCCACTTCATAATTTAGTACTTCATTTATTTATGCTATATATGTAATTAAAATAAAATTAAAAAAACAGACAACCTTAAGGGTTCATTGATTATATTTTCTTTCCCGAGGAAAGTGGGTTTTTTTTCAAGCATAAAACAATGGTTTTAAAATTTACCTATTATTTTTATACATTTTGAAGGTTAATTTTAAGTTGAAGTAAGGTGATAGAGAGAGGCGTGGACGAGAGATATGATCTAAATTAGAGAAAAAATGGAAAGATAGGAATAATTTTAAATCTATTTTTAATAAGATACTTAAGCATAAGTAAGGTGAGTAAGGACCAGACATTGACCTATTTAATAAGCCATCTCACAGGAAAAGAGACATAGAAAAAAGAAAAGATATAAGAACACGAATGGGGAAGCAGCGGTGGGAGGAAAAGTGGGGAAAGAAGAAAAGGAAGAATAAATTAACATGTATATATATATATATATATATATATATATATATATATATATATATATATACTAAATAAGGACGATCTAAAAGCAGTCCTCGATGTAAAATATAAAAAAAAACATATAAACAGAGCCAATATACGTGTATTTGAGAGCAATAAAAATACGGACAGCAATTATAGGTCATGCAGCTGTTAGAATAAAGAATAGTGTCCTCTCCGGGGAGAATGTTTATCTATAAATGTGGTCTACAGGGCTGTAATACGTAGCGGGAGTGAATAATTATTTTATATTTCTGCTGTAGATGGAGAGTTGAAAAGGAGAGATTATGACCACAGGTTACTAATTGATACTTAATATATACAAGATTTATATTTTTGGCACTGATAACAATCTTGGGAGCGGATGAACAGTTCCAGATCAAGTGCTATTTTTTATTCTCCCGGAACAAGCTCTGCCACAGATCTTTGCTAGTACACAGATATTATCGAGGTTTTTAAGGTGCCACAGTTTTTTACTAATTTCTAATTTCATGAGCTTTATTTTTACCTATTTTTCTATGTTTTTAACAGAAATTTAACAGATTATCGCTTCTTCATGTGAAGGTACAGGTGATCATGGCCCTCCACAACGTATTTATGTTGTTCTTAATAAATTATTATTTCACTCAAACCCTTCTCCGCAATCCATTTACTGAAGCTCACTATGTCAGACTTTGATTTCATCTGTCTCTCTTGCCTTCATTCTGTCTTGTGAGTATCAGATTTTCCAAGCCTTTCTTCTTCATTATGCCTCCAATAAAATTTCAGGTGACTCTTTTTGATGTTAAATATGTTTCCTTTTTGTTTCTCTGCTCCTTAATACTTAGTCGTTGCTCACATTATCAGTCCATGGTATTCTCAGTGTCCTTCTGTAGAAGCACATTTTTATTGCTTCAAGTCTCTTCATCTTTGAGGAGATCGTCCAATATTTACTATCATGTAGGAGGACTTATATTGTACTTTTTTCTTTGTTTCTAACGATGTTTTCCCCGTCTCTTAATACATTGCTTAGCTTTTGGAAGGCATATTTGCTATCCAAATACGCCTACGGATTTCAGTATCGCACTTTCCGTCCGCCGTTATAATAATTTGATTTTTTTACTTGTTTAATTTTGGCGTCTCTGATTTGCAATTTGCATTTGGGATCCATCCTTTTGCTAATTACCATGCATTCTGTCTTCTTGCAGTTGATGTTTAATCCTTTCTTATCGCTTGCCTTCGCCACATTCTGTAGTTTTTTTCGTGTCTGTTATCAACACTCTATCATCTGCATATCTTATGTTGTTAAGATTGTGTCTGCCTATAATGGATCCTGGTAGGACTTCTAGTTCTAAATAAAAAAAAAAAACAAACGTATTTTATCTTTATGGTTTTTAATGACAATTACTGGTTTGTTAACTTTCAAATAAATGTCTGTGCATCCTGGGTACGACGATAAACTACATCCGGCAACAAGGCCTCTGACAAGGAGGTTTTGATGAGCGGGAAACCACCTCTTAATTGCTGTTGTTCCCAGGTCCACGCTAACCCGAGGTGGTAGCACCTGTTAGGGTCCCAGCTATGGGAAAATAGTTGTCCCCCAAACTGGGGTCAAAACTCTATGAAAATGTGGAAAAAGATTCTTATAGTAAAAATACCAGCAATACATTTTTTCAAAAAAAAAAATTACCAGCAATACATTCTTGAAGAAAAATATTGTCAGCAATACATTTTTGAAAAAAAAAAGAACATTATTAGCAATACATTTGATTATCGACAAAAACACTCTTTACAAAAATACGACAAATAAACCTGATCTGTAAACTGATTTCTTACAAATAATACATATTCTCTTCATACTAACTTATCCCTGTCGGCATTAAATAACACATGACGTTGATATGCCCTAAAACAAAATTAACCAAATTAAACTTGACCGACTGTATGAATGGTAAAGTACCAAAGAACATTACTTTCCTTATCTATTTTCAGCATTTGACGCATGATAATAGTCCCATATCTTGTAATGAAGCGACGGCCACATCTTTTCATGTCAGTATTTGTGTTTCTTTGATGTCAGTATTGTACAACCAGACACTAAGTGGTCAGGCGTCTTTCTTCCATGGTTTTAATGATTTAACTGCCAAAGCGTTTTTCGTGATCTAACTGGTCATTACCTGCGATCTATTCATTTTTATAGTACCTGTTTGCCAGTTTTCGGGTTGCTGCAACCCGACTGGTAGCAAGTAGTCCGAACTATTTGGAAGCGGTACGAAAGACTGTACTGTTAAACTGCCGTATCATATCGGGGTATCTACAGTCGCGCTCGGGTAATTGTCTATCATGTACTTACGGTGGGCAATTCTGGTACCCCATTATACTTGAGTCCTACTTAATTTCAACCCGGTTTAATATGATTCTAAAGACGATTGGCAGTGATAATGGTTTTGGCCAATTTCTGATTAGTAATGATTAGAAGTAACCGTAAATATTAAATGCTCACAGTTCCTTCCGGTTTCTTGCTGTCCAGTCAAGATTTAACTTTAAAACAATCGTTAGGGTGAAATAATGAAAAGAAAATCGATATATTGCGTCTGCAAAAAGTTATTATAATAATTATTTTTTAAATCAATATCATCCCAAGTAAGGCAGTAAAGCCACTAAGACACACGAGGTTACAGAATGTGGAAGAATTAGGAACAAAAACATTAATAATGAGCGGGAAGAGGAAAGAGTAATCAGGAAGACAGTAGATAGCGATTGTCATTGCATTTAAATTATTGCAGATTAAAGCTGGCTAGATAGCATGGAGCCGGAACAGAGTTCCACAAGCGAGAAGTGCGAGAAAGGAAGCTTAGCATATAATTTACGCTTACATCTAACCAGCTCAAGTGTAAATTGATGAGATTTCGACGCCAGTCTTGTACTGCGCTTAAATTTAAAAAGTCTAGGTACCATAGCGAAAAGCATTATTTATTTTTAAATATTACAAAATGTGGCTCAAGGTCAAAAAGGGGAATGAGGAAAAGGATGGTCTTCTGTCTTACATTTCAAATTAGCTAGCCACGATCACCACACAAACATACCATAATATTACTTGTACCAAAACAACGCATTCTTACTTAGCATTCTTACATCTATCATAATGCCTCAATGTCTCTATGAAGTCCTAACTAGTCCCCATATGTACAATTCATCGGCCGGGAGTGGAATAAAATAACAATTTAAAAAAATCTAAACCCCAATGAATATTTACAAATATGTAACAAACCTATCTACAATAAAATAGACAAAAAGCCATACCATAGCGAAGAGCTCATTCAAACCATTGCCATAAAATTAATTATAGAAAAAGACACAGAGAAACTGTGGTAAAGTGACTGAATCCGAGTTGCTAGATCAGGGCAAATAATATTGCTGATTTTTCTTTGGCTTTATCAAGGAATAATAATAATTATTATTATCATCATCTGCATTTTGTTTAGCCCAATCTCTTAACGAGTCTGACTAATGTAGACTAGACCAATTTCTACATTTTTGACTCGAGTGTAAAACCTGATCTACGCCTCCTGTGCAAAATTAAACTTATATCTACCTATTTGACTCAGGCATATGTTATACTGATTTCTCCGTTTTGGACTGCAGTGTAAAACTGATCCTAATTTTCTGTCTCTTACCTCTAGTTTAAAACAGAAACTTAATCTCCTTTTTATAGAAGAGAAGAAATATTTTTTTTAAAAAAATGATCTTGGAAATTGAGATTAATATTTTAAATCTTTCTATCATGTTGTTCTAAATAGATAAAAGACTTTTGAAAACTTATTTCTTTTTTTATAGATAATATGCGTAATTTATAGATGTTTTCTTCCTAAATCGCTAAGATTTATTGTTGAATGTCCCCGAGCCTTCTATGTCATGGAATTTGGGAGACGAGACTGTTCCAAATAATTAACCGGGAGATTTTAAACTTTTTTTCCTTTTTTTTTTTTTTAAAATATGAATTACTTTTTAAAGAAAAATTTAGTCGAGTATAATCGACCGTCAGCTCAAGCAGATAAAAAAAAAAGAGATGATTCCGTATTAACCGTGGGATGAAAAGCAGATGGATACAAAACTGTATTATTAGCAAGAACAGTTTCCATTTGTTGGGTGCTGTTACGATTTTTTTTTAAATTCGGTTTTTGATGATGAGAGAATGTTTTCTTGCTTTTCCTTCTCTCCTCTTCTCATTTTTTTTTTTTAAATGCAGCAGACACTAAAAAATTCTTTTGCAAGATATGTATTCACGAAAAATGATTCAATTAAACAGAGAAAGAAAATTCTCTGGTGTGTCGGAGTTCTTGTAGAAAACTTATCTATCTTAACCAGCATAATCTTTCGCTGCTTAAGTCATAAAAGGCAGCATTTCCAGCGACAAAGAATTCAAATAAGACGTTAAAAACGTAGAAAACTATGAAGCAAGACGACAGTCTGTCAGAGTGTCTTCCTCTGCGGGTAAAGACTTAAGTCGGGTCAGGAATATGAAAAGGAATTTTCGCAAAGTTAATATAGCGTATATGCTAAATTAAAGTCAATAGAAATTTAACGGTTGATGATGAGAGCTTCTTGTCCACTGATCCATTCAATACATCGAGATAAATTTCAAATGAAGGTTGTTATGGTACAAGAGCAATAATTTTGGAGTTCTCACAACGACTAAATTTACCACTGTATTAATGACTATCAAAAATCGCTTTGCTAATATTTTCACTGGAAACAAATTAATTTTTTCTTGTTTGTTGATATCTTGTTTCGGTAATGTGCCGTCCTTTCTTTCTTTCTTTCTTTCTTTCATTAACCTGTCTTTCTTTCTTTCTTTCATTAACCTGTCTTTCTTTCTTTCTTTCATTAACCTGTCTTTCTTTCTTTCTTTCATTAACCTGTCTTTCTTTCTTTCTTTCTTTCATTAACCTGTCTTTCTTTCTTTCTTTCTTTTTCATTAACCTGTCTTTCTTTCTTTCTTTCTTTCATTAACCTGTCTTTCTTTCTTTCTTTCTTTCATTAACCTGTCTTTCTTTCTTTCTTTCTTTCATTAACCTGTCTTTCTTTCTTTCTTTCTTTCATTAACCTGTCTTTCTTTCTTTCTTTCTTTCTTTCTTTCATTAACCTGTCTTTCTTTCTTTTCTTTTCTTTTAACTTTTCTTTCTTTCTTTAATTAACCTGTCTTTCTTTTTCTTTCTTTTCATTAACCTTTTTCTTTCTTTCTTTCTTTCTTTTCATTAACCTGTCTTTCTTTCATTCTTTCTTTCTTTTCTTTCTTTCTTTTAACCTGTCTTTCTTTCTTTTCTTTGTCTTTCTTTCTTTCTTTCTTTCATTAACCTTTCTTTCTTTCTTTTTTTTCTTTCTTTCTTTCTTTCTTTTTTTTTTCCTTTTTCTTTCTTTCTTTCTTTCTTAACCTGTTTCTTTCTTTCTTTCTTTCAATAACTTTTCTTTCTTTCTTTCTTAACCTGTCTTTCTTTCTTTCTTTTCTTTTCAATAACCTGTCTTTCTTTCTTTCTTTTCTTTCTTAACCTGTCTTTCTTTCTTTTCTTTCATTATAACCTTTTTTCTTTCTTTTCTTTCTTTCTTTGTTTTCTTTCTTTAACCTTTCTTTCTTTCTTTCTTGTTCTTTCAATAACCTTCTTTCTTTCTTTCTTTTCTTTCTTTTTCTTTCAATTTTTTCTTTCTTTCTTTCTTTTTATTAACCTTCTTTCTTTCTTTTTTTTCTTTCTTTAACCTGTCTTTCTTTCTTTCTTTCTTTCTTTCTTTCTTTCTTTCTTGTTCTTTCAATATCCTTTCTTTCTTTCTTGTTCTTTCAATAACCTTTCTTTAACCTGTCTTTCTTTCTTTTTCTTTCTTTTCTTTCTTTCTTTCTTTCTTTCATTAACCTGTCTTTCTTTCATTCTTTCTTTCTTTCTTTCTTTCTTTCATTAACCTGTCTTTCTTTCTTTCTTTCTTTCAATAACCTTTCTTTCTTTCTTTCTTTCTTTCTTTCAATAACCTTTTTCTTTCTTTCTTTCATTAACCTGTCTTTCTTTCTTTCTTTCTTTCTTTCTTTCCTTTTTCTTTCTTTCTAACCTTCTTTCTTTCTTTCTTTAACTTTCTCTTTCTTTCTTTCAATAACCTGTCTTTCTTTCTTTCTTTCTTTCAATAACCTTTCTTTCTTTCTTTCTTTCTTTTCTTTCTTTCTTGTTCTTTCAATAACCTTTCTTTCTTTCTTTCTTTCTTGTTCTTTCAATAACCTTTCTTTCTTTCTTTCTTGTTCTTTCAATAACCTTTCTTTCTTTCTTTCTTTCTTGTTCTTTCAATAACCTTTCTTTCTTTCTTTCTTGTTCTTTCAATAACCTTTCTTTCTTTCTTTCTTTTTTTTGTTCTTTCAATAACCTTTCTTTTTTCTTTTCTTTCTTTCTTTCTTTCTTTCAATAACCTTTCTTTCTTTTCTTTCTTTTCTTTTTCTTTCTTAACCTTTCTTTCTTTCTTTCTTTCTTTCTTTCTTTCTTGTTCTTTCAATAACTTTCTTTCTTTCTTTCTTTTTTTCTTTCTTTCAATAACTTGTCTTTCTTTTTTTTTTTTCTTTTTGTTCTTTCAACTCCTTTTTTTCTTTTTTCAATAACCTTTCCTTTCACATTTTTTGTTATTTTTTTCATTTTCTTTTCTTTTCAAGCCACGAGATACTTTCTTTCAACATCCAGCAAGACCTTTGGTCAAGGCTTCTACACTTTTATTTCAATTATCTACTATCCTTCCTTTCACTTACCTGGCTTTCTTTTTTTTTTCTTTCAATTACCCGTCTTTCTTTCTTTCATTCAACAACCCGTCTTTTTTATTTTCTTTCCTATAAACCTATAACGTGTTTTCTTCCGTAATATCTTTCAATAACCTATAACTTGGTATCCTTTCTTTCTTTCTTTCCCCATTTATAGGAAAATTACCAACAATGCATTTTATCTGCAGTTGAATCCATGAAATTGTTCAAAATACATTGATTTTGGCATTAAATAACTCATAGAGGTTGATATGCCGCTAAACAAAATCAATCAACCAACCAACCTTCCTGTTCTACTTTTTTAATATATTTCAATTTCTTTCTTTCAATGAGATATAACCTGTCGTTCCTTCTCAATTATCAGTCTTTCTTCCTTAAAATATTTCAATTTCTCCCTTTCATTCAATAACCTTTCTTTTTTTTCTTTCAATAATACGTCTTTCTTTCTCCTTGAATAACCTATAACACGTCTTCCTGTCTTTAATATATTTCAGTTTCACTCTTTCATTCAATATTAATTTCAATTACTTTTCCTTCATAATATATTTAAATTTCTTTTTCATTCAATAACCTTTCTTTCTAGTTGTTGAAAGACAGAAAGAAGGAATTCGATTACCTTTCATTCGATAACCTTTCTTTTTTTCAATTACCTGGCTTTCTTTCTTTCTTTCGCCCTTTCAATTATCAATCTTCCTTAATATATTTCAATTTCTTCCTTTCATTCTATAACCTGTCTTTCTAAATATATTTCAATTTCTTTCGTTCAATGACGTATAATTTTTCTTTCTTTTTTTCTTTCTTTCAATTACCTGTCTCTCTTCCTTAACATATTTCAATTTCTTCCTTTCATTCAATAAACCCGTCTTTATTTCTTAATATATTTAAATTTCAGTCCTTTTTTAAATAACCTATCACCTGTCTTTCTTTCAATTACCACTTTCCTATTTCTTTCTTTCAATTACAAGTTTTTCTTTCGTTTTCTTTCTTTCAATTACCTGGCTTTCTTTCTTAATATATTTCACTTTCTTTCATTGAAAACCCCGGCTTTCTTTCTTTCAATAGCATATAACATGTTTCTTTTCTTGCTTTCAATAACACGTCTTTCTTAATATATTTCAATTTCTTTGTTTCGTTCAATAACACGTCATTTTCTTTCAATAATCTATAACCTTTCTTTTTTAATTACTTAATTTCAGTTACCAGTCTTTCTTTCTTAATATATTTACATTATTTTTTTCATTTAATAACCTACCTTTCTTTCTTAATATGTTTTAATTTCTTCTTCATTCAACAACCTATAAACTTATTAAATTCCTATAAACTTTAATGCTTTCTTTCTGTCTTTTTTCTTAATTTTTTTCAATTTCTTTCTTTTTTTATTGGCCCTTTTCGTTTTTTTTATACCTTCTTTCACCGATTCATTCACCTTTTTCTTTTTCTTTGTTTTTGCAAATGTTTTTCATTCATTATTCCTTTGTTAAAACGTACCTGTTGATTACGATAGTTTGGCAGCTGTGACGGGGTAGCCAACCACTCTTCACATGTTCCAAGCAACTAATGTCACACGCATCCCTACTTCAGAAAAAAGAAATCACCTACTTCCAAAATATTCAATGCACACTTGGCATACAAAAGAAAAAAAAAAACGCTTCTGAAGAATAATATCGTCAGGTGAAATTGCCTCACCATTTCGCTTGAAAACCAGAACTTCACACAACCAGCACGTGATTCCCATTTGTATTATTAAGCCTGGGATTTCTTTTTACTCGGATGTCACGTGGTACAACGTTCCAATGTTGAAGAGAGAAAGTCAAAAAAAAAAAAAAAAAATGGCTTCTTTCACGACAATAACTGTGTTAAGTACCGGACGATGTCTTGCATTGTTGACGACGGTAGGCGTAGCTACAGAATTTCAGTAGAACACGTCATCTTTGCCGACATTTTTTTTTTAATAACTTTAGTGTCATAAGTTATGACTTGCTAAGCTTTTGTATTTAGATGGCGTTTTGAGGTTTGGCGTTCATAACATTTCCGATTTACAACCGGATCCCTATCATTCTATGTCTATTCATTATCTATCTACTTATCTATTATTATTATTTATTATTATTATTATCTACCTGTCTATATATCTTTATTCATTATCAATCCATCTCTCTCTATTCCTTATAAATTTATCTATCACTATTCATTAACAATCTATATTCATTATTTATGTATATTCATTATCTACGTATCCCTCTTCAGTATCTAATTATTTTCCTCTATGTATTATTTATGTGTCTATCTCTATTTATTATCTATCTTCATTATCTATATTTCTATCTTCATTATTTAGTATATATCTCTATTCATTATGTATGCATGTATGTAATGTATTCATTCTCTATGTCCATTTATCATCTTTCTCTCTCCATATATATATACATATATATATATATATATATATATTTAAAGACATGTTTTGTGGTACAAAACTTTATGACTGCCATAAACAGACAAAATTATTTTTATTACCACTCATGATTATAATAAGTAAAAAGTAAAACTGAAAAACGGGCTAGCTCACCGATTTCGAACCTCGCTCAACAGAGCTAAATCGAGGATAATAAATAGAATTAGCACTAAAAAGGTGGACAGTATGTATTGAAAAAAAGTTATTGCTTAGTTGGAGGCCCAGTACGAAGCGAAGTTCTTCTGTTTACACAGAATATATATATATATATATATATATATATATATAAAAAGGATATGATGTATAACAATTTGCACGTACTGGATTTTCCCCTAACAAATCTGGCCACAATTTCGACTTAATAAATGACAATGTGATCAGGCGCGAACAAGATTTTTCAAGAGCAAAATGTATTGCGAATGAACCAATCTTACACTTCCAGACTATAAGCCTCAAACCAACCTCGCATATAATAACACCAACTTAACATAAGCAAAAGTGGCTGAAAGCTTTATGCCTTGGGGTGGAGCCTTTAAACTCCGATCTGATCGGGGTGGGCTAGTTTCAAGTCTAAAAGAGATTGGCGACAAAAAAAGTAGTTTTATTCCGACCGAAAATGACTATCTATTTACCTAGGCCTATTCATTATCTATCTTTTATAATCTATCTTCCTAATCTATCTTCCTAATCTATCTATATAATCTATATTCGTAATCTATCTACCTAAACTATCTTCATAATCTATCACTTTCATAGAGTCTACAGAGTTATTATATGTGATCCAAACATTTTGTACAGGATTGATCGTGACCTACACACAGTTACACCCATACAAAAAACAACTTTCGTGCCGACGACTTTGTACATTTCATAATCAGTTTCACTGAATCCATTTCGCGCGGACGTAGTATAGGACCACACCTCTTGACAACGAGGAAGAATAATCGACCAATCAGATCATTCTATTTTCTTGTAAATCTTAAGCTTGGAGCCTCTAAAAGAAAATTAAATGAAGTTGGCAATTCAAATGTCAGTACATGTCCCTGCTTCAGCTGCCAGTGACTTCAAAGGAACTTTTTCGGTCTTTTCCAGAAGCCATAGCTGAAAGTTCAACAGACCTCTCTCTCTCTCTCTCTCTCTCTGTACGTGGATCTCAGCACTCTTTCACGACGCATATACGTAGAATTGTTTAATTCGGCAAAGAACATTCATTTCATGTAGAACCTTCATCGACCAAATTAAAATTACATCAATTTATTTGCTGTTTCTTTTTTATCGCGATTCTTTTGTTTGAAGCATATATATATATATATATATATATATATATATATATATATATATTAAGGCATTAAAAACAAGAAATTTTTATATTATGTAGGCCATGATAGATTTAAAACAAAACACACCAGTTTTTTTTTCTCCCTGTCCATTCATTCATGTCATCCATGACAGACTTTTTCTTTTTCTCCTAATTTTAGTTCCCCGTTAACAGTTCTGATGAGAGGGGACGAAACCGGTCGACTGGTGTGTGTTTTGTTTTAAATCTATCATGGCCTATAATATAAAATTTCTTGTTTTTAATGCCTTAATACGCTTTTGTACTGTTTCAAACATATATATATATATATATATATATATATTTTTTTTTTTTTTGAATAATTAATTCGTTAATTTTACGTATACTTGATGAGGTCCGTCAAAAACGTGTGAATTTCTTTTCATTTTTCATTTCAGCTTTTGGAAGTAAAGTCTGATGATCCAGAACCCTGTTAAAGGGGTTATGGTGAAATAGCTTATTACATGGAATCTTAACGTGGTCTGTCTTTGATTCAAACATATCTGCTCTGAATCTTACATTGAGCTCTCTAGATATCATCCTTCTCGGGTCTACCCATACGGATTACCTAAATTTGCATAAACTATATATATATATATATATATATATATATATATATATATATATAATTAATCGTTGTTATTATTACTTGGTTAATTCGTGTATGAGTCGATATTTTATTTATTTTTAAACGGTTAAGATTTTCTAATAGTTATTGTCAGGGGACTGACGGCTAGTCTAAACGGGGTTGTAGGATTTGTGAGTGTTCTAATTGATAGCGGCTATGAATAAGAAATCGAGTAGCCAGTCGTCAAAGTTATATTCACTAGTCTGTCTTCAACGTTTAACGTGTATCGTAGTGAGTTATCTAAGAAGTGTTCCGTTTAACAATGACAGCATATTCATATCGTGAACAGGCAGATATGATTTTTACATACGACCGTGCGAATGGTATCAGTGTGCATTTCCAGATCGAACGCAGCCGAATCATCCAAACCTTACTGTTGTTTATCGTCACGTCACTGAGACACGGTCCGTCGCACCAGAAACTATCAAGAAAGACTGAGATCAGTTTGTACGCCTGACGACCAAGAACACCTTCTACAGACTGTCGGGGACGATCCACGTATCAGCAAACGTTAAGTAGTCCTAACATTTACTTCAAAAAGCAGCTTCTATATCCGTATCATTTGCAACATGTGCAGGGTCTTTCGCCCTCTTATCACTCACCACGGGAGAACTTCTGCCGATGATTTATTGCACAAACTACCAATCAGTTGTTCGTCTCTACAGTCTTGTTTACGGATGAGGCAACGTGTGGGAGAGATGGAATAACAAATTTACACAGCCAACATTTGTGGACGGTTCGGAATCCCCATTGTACATTTCCTGTACCTGACTTCAAAGGTCAAAATAAGTAAGTCAGCGGAGAAAGAAAATTCTCTAAAAAAATAAAAGTCCTGACTTCGTACGTTAAACATTAGTCTGTTAGACTATTATTTGCCATACGGAGTCAGGTACTTACTGGAGCGGTACAGGGAGCCGACTATTTTTCCTGCATCTTTTGTGATGGATCGTATGTATGGGTACTAAATTTGGAATCACGAAACGTTTTGCAATGAAAGACAAACAGGCCGTACTCATTCACCGGCCCTCGTATATAAACGGGTTCTTTTCAGGATGGATGCTGCATAGAATTTACGTTAGCAGAACATTTGAAACAATTAGCATTGACATCTGCATAATTTTGTAATTTTTCGAGTTTTGAAACAGAATTGACATCTGCATAGTTTTGTAATTTTCCGAATTTTCAAACAGCATTGACATCTGCATAGTTTTGTAATTTTCCGAATTTTCAAACAACATTGACATCTGCATAGTTTTGTAATTTTTCCGAATTTTCAAACAGCATTGACATCTGCATAGTTTTGTAATTTTCCGAAAATTTAAAAAAGCATTGACATCTGCATAGTTTTGTAATTTTTCCGAATTTTTAAACAGCATTGACATCTGCATAGTTTTGTAATTTTCCGAAAATTTAAAAAAGCATTGACATCTGCATAGTTTTGTAATTTTCCGAATTTTGAAACAGCATTGACATCTGCATAGTTTTGTAATTTTCCGAAAATTTAAAAAAGCATTGACATCTGCATAGTTTTGTAATTTTCCGAATTTTGAAACAGCATTGACATCTGCATAGTTTTGTAATTTTCCGAATTTTCAAACAGCATTGACATCTGCATAGTTTTGTAATTTTCCGAATTTTCAAACAGCATTGACATCTGCATAGTTTTGTAATTTTCCGAATTTTGAAACAA